AGGCAGACCACATTGCTTCCTGTATGCATGTGGTCAAAGGAGGTTATGACGGCGCCCGTCGACATCGTCGCAGCCGCACAAAAAATGACATGCAGGGCCGCGATCGTGGACATCTCGGCCGCGAATTTCAGCAGTGCATGGACCTTGCAGGACTTCGATGCACTTTACGCAATGATGGCGAAGTGTTATAGTCCAAATTGGGTCCTGATAGCAATCGTGTTGCACGCTGAAGGAGGGGATCTGAAAAAAGTAACTGTCGCACCCCGTCTTCACAACGATCTCACCGAAGCGCATGTTGTGGAGGAAAAATTCGGGAAGTGTCTCGGAAAACACGGTGACGTCGAAGGCGACGAAAGTGCCGCATATTCAATTTGGGAGCGAGAACCTGGCAAGTTGTGGAAGTTGTGCAATTCATTCGTAGGAGAGGCGGAAGGTGTGTTTTTGTTGGGTAGGGCGCACGCGGGTCGTGTATGGAAGTTATTGCTTGCAGGTAATAATGTCATTGCCTGTGACGAGTCGGCCAAGGACAAAGTTCGTCGACATACTTGTTAAGGATGGGAGATTTGAGTGTCGCATCGAGAAACCGCGTGCCACACATCGCACGAACAGGGATATGTACCGCAAGTTGGGACCGAAACGACTGAAGGTGTGGGAATACCTGTTCCGCGATGCGCCGGATGGACGCCTTGATGGGGGATACATATATAGAAAAGTCAAGGTGACCGAGGCCCTCAAACATTATCACGGTGCTCTAACTGACGCCTTCGAGACATTCGTTGCTCGATGCGAGATCTTGAGGTTTGATCTTCATAAAGATAAACTGACGTTTAAGGACTATGCAGACCTCGCTAAATCGGGTGAAGGCTTTAACCCCGTTGACAGCGAGGAAGACTCATCGGAGTCCGACCTCGAGATCGAAAAGGACACCAATGCAACCGGGTGGTGTGGGAAGTCCGCTGACATGGAGCAAAGCGTCAAGGGATATGGACCGGGTCAATCAGAGGGGTGCTCGAACCTGCTACCCGCTAACAGTGTGGCCTCGGGTGTGGACCGGGTTATATGTACGCCTATGGAAGACGACGAAGACAATGACCTTGATATTCCTGCTCAGCCAACGAAGCTGGCGCCAGGCGATCCGATTCCTCCCAGATTTTGTGCAGATCCAAACAATGTGTATTTCTTGGATAACAAATACACCTACAGTAGTGCGGACAAGTGGGGCCATGATATCATTTGGCATGACGGCATTTTCGAGCCATGTATCCAAGGCAGGGAGTGAAAAATGGCGGTGAAGTATGTCTCGAAGGGTTGGAGACCGTTTGCCCGCATGGGAAAGGACAACTGGCTGAAGACGACGGAGCAATCAATACTATACCGCTGTCGGAAAGAGAACCCCGGGGAGAGTGAAACATCCATCGCGGCAAAGGCGAAACAATTGTTCGACGCCTTGGGAGCCACTCGGCAGTTAGAGTACTCACACAAGTTTTACGAGCTGCAATCGAGCCCCTCGTACGACAAAATTGACTGGAAGGTTGAGCGCGCCGCCACACTTGATAGCATGGACGTAGACTCCCGAAAAAATGTCGCCCCTGTGCCCGAGGCGGCCACAGGGAGCACGATGGGTGAACAAAGGGAAGATGGCGGGACGACGTTCGATATGAAGCCTCCATTGCCAGAGGCGGGGAACACTTCCGCAGGCAAAAACACTATCGGAGCCATCTCCTCGCGACAAGTGCAGCGCTGGCAGGCACATCGGATATGGTGTCAGAGTCCACTGCTGGGATGGGCGTCACGGGGATGTCGTTGCATCCGCCCACATGCACTAGCAAAGGTGACGCACACTGTACAACAACACCACAGGGAGGGGTCACAGGGGATGACGGGAATGGAAAAAATGCAGGGGGGTCTCCGCGTTCTCGCAATATTGAGGACATGACGACAGACGATGAGGATGGGGTAGAAGGCGGAAAGGGCGTGAGCAATCCCACACGTGCAGAACATGAGGGGTGAGACAGGGAATGAACTTGAGGGGAATCCTCTTCGGGGGGAAATTTGATTTTTTCGTGTGTGTGCTCATTTGTTTGAAATTTGGGTTTGTGGGCGGAATTTGTTCCTGTGTACAATCGACCTGCAGACTCATTAGTGTTCAAGTTCCGGAATTTGAACTTTTAATTGTTGACAAGAAAATTGTGTGGTGAACAAGAGTGTGTCGTAGTATGCATGTGTGTCTCTCTATATTCGTCAATATGTTGCGTTGTGTATATGCATGTATGTCGTTGGGGTACGGTGATGAAAGGGGGCAAGAGTCAGGATTGATTGGTCCGAAGTATTGTCGTTCACCTAAGTGTAAGTTTAGCGAAACATTGATGACGTATCTTGAATACATCATTTCCGTTTAGCATCTTCTGGTAAGGCACTTGCCCATGTACAAGTATCTCAAATGGTCGCCCTCCCCGTTTTTAACACCGCCTGCCCACCCGTTTCTTACTTTCCTGTAAGGGCGACCATTTTTTTACACCCCTATCCGCCTCGGTCACCGTTGTTTACACCGTCGTCGATGTCGTATTCGTCGTGTTTGTCGTGTGCAGTGCAAATTACAACAACGGATACAAGAAAGTGCAAAAGAGGGTGGACAATGCGCCTCGCAACATCGTCTTTATCAAAGAAGGAGATGAAAGCACTCTCAAATGTATGTCGGGAGTACGGGAAAAGGTTCCCAATAGCGAGCACACACAATCACGGGACGAACGAAGTATTGAAGCTAACTCGAGATGAATTTATTTTACTACTCGACGAGCGGAACAAGTTAAATGACAACGTCGTCAAAACCTCATCGCACTAGACAAACCTCATCGCACTAGACAACTGGTGTAGAATCACACACGTAGAATGCGACGCCGAGAACGAAACCGTGATTAGAATCGGAAAGGGTCACATTCCTAGAATATCAGTATTGAGCTCTTTTTCTTCGACAGCGAAATGAGATATCAAGAGCGAGAGGTGCAGCACTGGTCGAATGACATTATAATAAGTGACATGGACTTGATAATTGCCCCTTTCCATATCGCATACTCGAACCACTGGACCCTCGTTGTGGCTGACTTCAGGAGGAGGAAATTTGAATTTTACGACTCCCTCAGCCCCGACAAAGAACTGGCAGCCAAAGTGACCGGCGGATTTGCAAAGTTTTTGTTTAAAATATCGATTCAGCAAGGCAAAGAGGTGGACACGAAACCGTTTAATCACATATGGACCGTAGAGGGTGTCCCGAAACAACGTGATACTAGCTCATGTGGGGTCTTCATGCTCGCATACGCATCGCTATTGGCAAGGGGTCACCTTCCGCCTTTCTCTTTCACCGCTGATGACATACCCGCAATACGTCGTCGAATGGCTTTGGACACAGTGGCTCGCGAGTAGTATGAACCTGCTGCTGGATATTGTGATTACATGCAGATGGATGTGGGTAACATTAAATTGTTTGTCATGGAAATAGTGTATAGAAGATGACAATCATTGCTCCAAGTTCCTGCCCCTTACCCCTTCTCTTTTACCCCTTATCCCTTACCCCCAAACCCCTTACCCCTTACCCCTTACCCTTGCATGTATACCCATACCCCAAATTCAAATGCATTTTTTACCCTAAAACACCACGGAAATGACAATTTAAGTTTCGTTCAAAAAATATAAAATGTCCGGTTTGACGAAATCGCTGTTTAAGCAGCTAAGCTGTGTGCAGACGTCTAAGAATGAGGACAGTGTTTTGACCAGCGAGCCACTAAGAATCCAATGCGGGCAATCGTATCTTTCGTGGGGCTGCAAGAAGCAGAAGAGTGCAGTGATTTGCAGTCCGCTGCATCGTATTGACCAGCATACGACTGCTCGTTATGAGATTCCAAGACGCGTCAGTACTCTGAAGAAGGAACTGTCGAGGAGCGACTTCCCCGAGAGTTTTTTTATGAGAGTGCTGAAAAGTTTGGCGTTTAGGCGTGATGATATTTGGCAGTTCACCGTAAAACTCTTGTCGGACGAAAACACTTATTGGAGCATGTTCCTGGCTCATTGGCATTTGCTATATTTTTGTTGGTAGGAAGGACCGCCTTGTGCGGTTTGATATGTAGGAAGATGGTATAGTGAGAGTAGCTCAGATAGGGTTGGTTGAGTGATTGGCAGATGAGTAATGCCACATGATTGGACAGGGATAGCGTATTTGGACAAGGGTACCCTATTCGGGCAGGGTGATGTAGATGTGAGCATTACATTGATCTAGCGTATTGTTTTTGGTTTTCGT